CACCCCATCCGCTTGAATCGCTGGCGACAACGGATCCCTCGTGAGTATGGGTGGTAGATTCTCTAAGGAGCAGGCAGCTCACATTCAGGAAATCAGAGAATTGACCAAACGAAATTTTTTTACCTTTAAAAAGGGGGGCTCCCTTCATGCCCCCCTCACAAAAACCTCTATTGAGGAACTCCTAGAATACATTTGGCAACACTGCCCTTCTTATCCGGCTAAAGGCAGTATCAAAACTACAGTATGGAAGGAGATTGGAAAATACCTTCACGCAAGTCCTAGGGCCCCTTCGTCTATATTAATTGCTTGGAGGGTGGTTTTTGAGGCTCTCTCCTCTCTAGAGCAACCCCTACTTGGCCCCCTTTCTGGACCCCCTCCCTATGTGAATCCTGCTGTACAACTCTTGCCCCCCGCTGTGGCGCCTGTGTCTCTTAAACCGACTGCCCCCCGGAGGCAAATGAAGTTGGTAAACCTCCCCCCCTTCTCCTGACCCTCCCTCACCCAATCCCTCTTCTTCTTCTCTTGCTCTCCCTTCTGTGCCTTCCTCTCCTGCCTTACCCCCTCCTATGGGCGCGCTTCAAAGGCAAATTACAAATGAGGCGGCTCGGCAGGAAATTCTTCTTAAATTGGCATATGAGAAAGCTAATGCAGACTGTAAAACCTTGCTTACTCCCTTGATTAATTCTCCAGATGCCACTCTAGCCCAATTCCTACAAGCCTGCAGGGTGGTGGGAACACACCAATACACTTCCGAAATGATGGCTGCAGCTATCACCAGAGGTAATAAGCCATCTGGTAATTGTTACAATTGTGGGAAGCCCGGTCATTTTAAATCACAATGTTGAGCCCCCGGCAGGGGGGCAGCAAAGCCCTCCGCCAGTAGAGATGTTCGACCAAAAACAGTCTGCCCGAAATGTAAGAAAGGCTATCATTGGGCTAATCAATGTCGATCAAAAACTGAACCCTCGGGAAACGAGTAGAGGGGCCGGCAGCTAGCCCCTCCCCCAAGGCTGCCCATATACCATCCACTGTGTATGAATTATCAGTGGCAGAAGATGTGCTCATATCCTTTCCCCAGCTACCACTCTCTGTCAGCGCACAGCTTCCTCCTTCTCCTCCGATAAAACTGCTCTTATACAATCTCACCCTCATGCCCTCCTCAAAGGAATCTCTGTGGTTCCCGATCTGCTTTATCCTTCCTCAAAACTCTCAGCCATTAACCTTTCTGTGCTAAGTTACAAAAGGGTGACGTCGTAGCAAAAATGATCCTGTACAAAATTTTGGCTCCCTGTGACTTCTGAAAATCTCACAGGGACTGCACAAATTAAGCCCGCCATCCTCCCCCTTCACACGAATTTGTGGGGGAGAGACTTGCTCTCTCAATTTGGCGCTAAATTGCAGCTAGAATGACTCACCCTCTTCCCCTTCGCTTAACCTTAACCACGGATGTTCCTGTTTGGGTTGATCAATGGCCATTGCCAGCAAATAAATTGCTTGCATTGCAGCAATTAACAGCCGCATCCGCTGTTACTATTCTATCCGCTTTCTCTCTTTCTCCCCTAACCCCTTGGGACAGTCATAACTATTTTCATCAAAATAAAAGGGCTCTTATGAAGGAATTCCAAATCACCGCCCAAGAGGCTGCTGCAATTATTCAACAATGCCCTACTTGCAGCAAGCAAGCCCCTGCCCTGCCAATGGGAGTAATTCCCAGAGGCTTAAAAGCATGCCAAATTTGGCAAATGAATGTAACTCAGTATGCGCCTTTTGCACCATGGAAATATATCCATGTTTCAGTGGACACATACTCAGGGTTCATCATGGCCTCCCCGCAAAGAGGAGAGACCACAAAACATGTCATTAACCACTGCATCCGGTCATTTGCATGCCTGGGAAAGCCCTCGGAATTAAAAACTGATAATGGCCCCGCCTATACTAGTACCAACTTTGCTACCTTTTGTAAACAATGGCCATTTTGCACAAATTTGGCATTCCATAAAATTCTCAAGGGCAGGCCATAGTAGAAAGAGCCAATCTGACCCTAAAGAATGCTCTTGACAAAGTTCAAAACTCGATGGGGAAACTCACCCCAGGGCTACCCATGCTGCAAAACAAGCTTAACTTGTGCTTATTTACACTGAATTTCCTGAATGAGTCTGGCACACCTGCTTCTTCTGCCGCCTCTCGACACTTTTGCTCTCCATCCAAGGATGCTCCTAGACCTCCAGTCTACTTTCGACAGCTTCCAGATCCCAGATGGCACGGGCCTGCTGAACTTATAACCTGGGGACGAGGGTACGCGGCTGTTTCCTACAACAACACCACCACCTGTGTCCCCAGACGACAAGTGAGGCCTTTTCTACCCAAACCAGCCTTGCCTACATCAGCATCATGAAGCTGCCCGCTGCATTCATCATTTGCTTCCTGGGCTTCCACATCGTTCCTGCCGATACGACAGCCACCCCATCCTCCTGCGACGCCTGCATCAAAACTACTCGCAGCGGAACGAAAACCCAATCCACCCTGATCTATCATACTTTGAAGCCTGAGTGCAACTCCACGACGGTCTCCCCTTGTCTGCATAATAACACTCAATAACACTCAATACCTGAATCCGAGGGGGTACAATATCGTTTTTTAGGTCTTGGTATCGACGGTACCGGACGTGACCCATATGGTTATATTATATTGAAAATCCACACCACCTCCATAAAGTCAACACCATCCAAAGTTTTCTGGGAATATCAAGACGAAATTAGCAAATTGAACTCTCCATATTCCCCCCAAAGCTCATAACATGTTTGGATCCTGGTTCCCAAAATTGCCTGGTTTGCAAGCTATTGTAGCGCTCATTGGTATGATTGCTGCGGGATGTGTTGTATTGCCTTGTGTATTACCCATCTTTGTACGCACTATTTCTAACAGTTTATCCCTCTTGGCTGAGAAAAAAGCCACTGCGCAGGTAATGGCTCTCTGGAATCAACAAATAACTAACACATATGAACCACTGCCATCCGAAGATGAGATAGGAGAGCCAACCTGTGACGACCCAGACGAGGACAAGATGTTTGTGATGGTTGAAGAAGTCACGAACGTTGTGGATAACATCAACATGCACAACACTCTTGCCTACGCGCCTGACAAAGGCTGTTATTAGGACTAAAACACTCCCTGTCTCTTAAAAAGGAAAAACAGAGGAGATGTGGGAATTATTCTTTGTTCTTTGTGTACGTGCTAGGACAACGGAGCCTTCTGGCGGTTGGCTGCAACACGAAGCAAGGAGCAAGGACAAATTGTTGCCATTTCTTACCCAGAACTGTGCAGCTTTGTATGCTTATACGAATAATCAGTGCATTTTGGGTGATGTAATACGTTTGTGATAGGACGCTAACAAAAATTGCTACGTTAACAAAGATTGCTTCTAATAAAAGAGGGTTTCAGGTTTTGCTCTGAGCTCTCATCCCGGGACAACCTTGCGTTGTGTCTTTTTTCCATGAGAGACCACCACAGTCTGGTACCTTTGATGTAGGGGAGGAGTGCGATACTGTTGTCTTGTTCTGTGTCTTGTTTATTGGGGGGTATCTCTCTTCAGATTAGGTTGGTAATTGTGTTTATTTGGAATCCGTTGGAAATTAATACGTTAGTGAAGGTGTGTAGTTCTGTTCTCAGGTGGTCTTTGTCAGCTAGGCATTTGGTTCTGGAGATGAGGGTCTTGGCTACGGAGTTGATCTGTGCAGGGTGGTGATGGGATTGTGCATTAAGGTAGTGGTTGGTGTGTGTTTTTTCCCGGTAGAAGGTGTGTCCTAGGGAGCCATTGGGTTTTTTGTAAATTAGGATGTCCAGGAAGGGAAGTTGGTTGTTGGTTTCTGTTTCCATGGTAAATTGTATTTTGGGGTGTAGGTTGTTAAGATGTGTGAGGAAGTTGTCCAGTTTTTCTTTCCCGTGTGGCCAAATTACCAAAGTGTCATCTACATATCTGAGCCAGAGTTTATGTTTGTGTTCGGATTTGTCTAGAGCATTGGTTTCAAAGTGTTCCATGTATAGGTTAGCGATGACAGGTGAGAGGGGTGATCCCATGGGTGCTCCCTCTATCTGTTTGTATCTTTGTCCATTGTGGATGAAGTATGTGTTGGTTAGGCAGTGGTTGGTCAGATCGACGGCAGCTCCGATCACACACTGCTTGCACTGGCACGAAGCCGAAAGCACCAGCCTGAGGATGGCGAGTGGGACCTCGCCGAAACGTCGCCAAGATACTCTTAATCTTACACAGGAAAAGACCCAAACACACCTAGACCTACATGTATGTATGTATGTATGTATGTATGTATGTATGTATGTATGTATGTTAGTTATTCAGCTTTGTTCGAGTATTTTCCCACGTCATTGTAGTTGTGCTTTTAAAGTTGTAGCGACGTTTCGGCAGAATCTCATCTGCCATCGGCCTTCCATCCCTCAGAGGTCGGTAAAATGAGGATCCAGATTTTTGGGAGCAACATGTTGACATTTGTAAAGAATTTAGAAAGGGCTGAAAAGCACTATATAAGTCTAAGTGCGGATAAGTCTAAATACAGATAAGATCCCAGATTAATTGCTAAGTTAAAACAATATATTCGGTTGCAACTTGTGCTTCCTTCAGAAGTTCCCATAACTCTAATTATTCATATTTATGTTATATTTCAGAATGCTCAGATTCAGCTAAAAATGCCTCTGAGCAACAAATCAGTGCTAGTATTGCTTGAACTATTGTTTTAGAAATGTAATTCTGCAATGGAATGTTGACTAAGATTGTAAAATGCAAAGGAGCATTTTAATGTGTATTAAATATGAACAGTTGGTTCCTTAGAAGATTTATGGTCCCTCATAGGATTATGCTTTTATTAGTTACATAGTTACAGTGTCTGGATGAAATCTAACTTTTCACTAAAAAAACAAGAGACTATCACTGGGTTGAAGAAGGGGACCTATTTCCCCCCTCTTTTTTCCATACACCACTTCTCTAGTCTGGTAAAAGGTGTTCTGATCAGATTCTGAGAGGAAGAAAATTGAAAAGGATATTCAGTTGTGTGAAAGAAAGTCCATTATTTTACATGATATTTTTCTCCATAAATTCTTACTACCTGAGAGATGGTGCAACTACCATACTATGTATCTAATGATGCTCTTCTTTGGATACCATTATAAGCCAAGATGGTATGATTGGGCTCCCCCCCCCCCCCCCTAATAGTTACAGTCAATAGTTATAGTCAGTGCAATCAGAATAGCAAAAAAAAAAAGGGGGGGGGGTCTTTGGAATAGAATCCTCTTGTTAGTCCAAATCAAAGTTCTCCAATCTGTTTGAATAGAATGTTCTCTAAAATTCTGTTCATTTTATATTTTTTATTTTTCAAATGTATTTGATTCCCCCCCCCTTTCTTTTTATATAATTAGCCCTCTTGGGAACAATTTATGCTGAAGTTGTGGCATAGATTATATAAATGCATATTTTTCTATAGATGCTTTGATCCTGAGACTAAAGAAAAATTGAACAGAAAAAAGGCTAATAATTAGTGTTGTAACTGTTTCAGGAATCTAGTGAAGCAAAAGCAGTATTGGAATGCAAAGATTCTGAAAGTAAAAAGGGGCCGCAGATTCCCCTTAAGAAAACAGGGCAAATGAGTTCAATTCCCCGACGATCTTCTGAAGACAAATATGAAAAATTGAATAAAGATAATGCTTCATGTTCAAGTGAAAGCACACCAAAGCAAGGTAACTAAAACCAAAATTGCTGATAATCATTTCCAAAATGTGTAAGTCATATTCAAAAACTGCTGGGAGTAAAACAAATCAGATTGAATATTTTTTTTTTTTTTTTGCATTTGGTATCAATATCATAAATTTTAATAAATCTAAAAAATTATTCATTTAATAAAATATTTTTTAAATATTGACTTTTTTTCTGTTGGCTTTTTTTATTAAGCATGGATAAACCTTACATTCCTATAAAGCAGGGGTCTTCAAACTTGACAGCTTTAAGACTTGTGGACTTCAACTCCCAGAATTCCTCCTCCAGTCATATTAGCTCAGGAATTCTGGGAGTTGAAGTCGACAAGTCTTAAATTTGCCAAGTTTGAAGACCCTTGCTATAAAGCATAGAGTTGACTCTGTACAAGCTAACAGTTTCTAAGATACCTTATGCGTTTTATTGGAAATTATTTTGAGGAATGGCACTCTGATGTGGGAATAAGCAACACTAAAAATAACTTTTCTCTTTAAAAACAAGTCTCACACTGAATATAATTTAACCTGGTTTAATTTACATAATTATAATTTTGCCATACAGATTTGACTACATTTGAGGCATGAGCTTCTGATAATATATGGATTTAAATATTAAATTTTATCTGATTGGTTATAATAATGGTAGGGTCTCTCAGATTAGACAGGAATTCATATTATTATTATTTTTGATTGATTAGTTTTATTCATATTATATTTGAGCAATAAAATAGAAAGACTGTGGAATTTAATAATGGGTGAAAGAAGCTCAGATTAAATCTTAAAATAAGAAGTTTGTTCTTTTTGAACAAATCTGAAGCTGGAGTCTTTTGGAACTGGGCATTTGAGTAAAATTGGCCTGGTTGTACTCCCTGTAATGACTAGGAAATCACCCTAGACACTCTTGCTTAAGCAGCAGGGAAAGTTATAGTCTGGGACTTGATTCAGATCTAGTTGGTGTATGCTAGTTAAAAGTCTTACTTCTATCAGGATGCCTTTGGCCCTAATCTCCATTCGTTTAGATTACTATAATTTTGGAGGTGACCCAGAAGGTGTAGCTGACATAAAACATGGTGGTCAGATTATTAGTGGGAAACCTTGCCAATGCAGAATAAAACCAATTTAAACTTTGGTGTTCTGCGCCCAATTCAAAATGTTGCTGGTTACCTTTAAATACTTGGATATATTGGTCAGTACTTTGCCAGAATGGAAACTTCCTGTGGTGGTGTGAACTTTTAGAGAGGGCCTGCTAAGAACCACATCACATTATAAGACCGGCCTTCTTTGTGGTTATTCCCACACTTTCAATCATACTTTCCCCAGGAGCATGTTGTCCCACTATGCCTTCTTTGACTCTGCAAGCAGATAAAAACAATATTATTCCAATGTACATAACAACACTAGATATAGATGCCCATCATTGGACTTTTTATGATTTCTATTGGTTGTTTTTATTGTTGTTATATTTACCATTTTATGCTTTTTCAGTGTCTGACAGATTGGGGCGGTCTACAAATAGTGTTAAAATAAATTCAGTCAATTCACTTTATCTTTTCAATAATAACACTTGTTCTCATTATCAAGAATATGGTTAGTTGGAGAAATGTAGTTTTATCTCACCATAGCTCTCTAAAACGGTTAATTTGGTTATATTTCAAAAGGTATTCAGGATAAGCAGGAAATGAAGAAAAGGAGAACTGAGAAGGGAACAGCAAGTAATGTACACTCACCACCTGCTTCTGCAGCCAAACCTTCTGCTGATCAGATAAGACAAAGTGTTAAACAGTCACTGAAAGAAATTCTAGAAAAAAGGTATGGGTTCTGCAGTAAAGCCATTCCTGTTACTCCAATTGTTTACTGAAAAAAATAAAATAAAATCTCTATATTTTTTTCAGGCTTGCAGATTCAACACTGAAGATCCCCGAGGAAAGAGCAGTGAAGGTTGCAAATAAAATAGAAAAAGAGCTCTTTTCCTTTTTCCGGGATACCGATTCCAAGTACAAAAATAAGTACAGAAGCTTGATATTTAATCTGAAAGATCCAAAAAATAAAGTATGTCATGACATTTCTTACATACTTGGGAACTATTCAAAAAATAATTGTTGTTTCTTTGTGGATGTCTAGAATAATTTTAAATGCTCATAATTTCTTCCATCCTGATCATTAACATTTTAGAAGTCTCAGAGCTAGAGTTAAATTTTCTAACTTACTTTTATTCCATATCCAAATTGATGAATCTACTTTTTCTGTCCATATTTAATGAAAACACTGTCATTTTCTTTTTGCATGCTAAAATATCTTGTTAATTTTTTTTCAGAGGCATTTTGCCTCCCAAAATAGGGGTTCACATTTCTTTACCTAAAAAATAGATTTAATAGAGAACTATAATAATATATGTGAATAGAGCTTTCTTTCCTAAATCATTCTGTCTACTAATAATTAATACTTTTATATATTTTATTTATATCCCGTTTTTATTATTTTTATGAACAACTCAAGGCAGCAAACTTATCTAATATTTCTTCCTCCTATTTTCTCCACAACAACAACACTGTGTTAGGCTGAGAGAGAGTGACTGGCCCAAAGTCACCCAGCTGGCTTTCATGCCTAAAGTGGGACTAGAACTCACGGTCTTCTGGTTTGTAATATGGTGCCTTAACTGCTAGATCTTTCTGATTTGGATTTAACTTTCATGTCCCACTGCTGGCCTATGAGGTTTGCCACAAGCCTTACGTTTGTACTTCAATATATATGTACAAGGACTGTATCAGACTGCATATATCTAACATTCAGTTTATGTTATAGATCTAGTATATATGGATGGCATAGGGGCCATGTTCAAGCTAGATAGGCAGGAAAAAAAATAAACATTTTTTAACTAAAGTTTTGTGGGAATTTCTTTTTAAGGCAGATTGGAAGTGCACCCATTAAAAAACTATATTGAATCTAATTATTGTGTTTTAGATAACATAGTCATCACTTGCAGAAACATAAGATATGCATTCTGTTCTTCTGCATGTATCCTAAGCCCTGCAGATACAGATTAGCAAAGTAGAAATGGATATCGGATAAAGTTTGTGTTTGTATCCTCTCTGCTTTCAGCAATAAAATTCATACTCGCCTACATTTATAGGCTCTTAAATTTATAGGCTTCCTTTACTTTTTGCCCTTAGGTTCAAAGACTGGCCTAAACTTTTCAGCTCAGTTGCAGAATGTTTTAGAGAATTTAAACAGAAAACCAATCATTCTTCCTATTGATATATTATATCATATAAAAACCATTGAAGCTAAATATGAAATATTTACATTAGTGTACAATTGATGTAGAGAAATGCTTATGCAAGGGAAATTAATTGAATTTCACATAAGTATAGTTGGTTTGCAGTTAATACTTACCTTGTAGAATTGATACTAGAAAAACACAGGTTTTGGTTGATTATATATAACTAATTGATTTCTCTTCCAGATACTTTTTAAAAGAGTATTGAAAGGTGAAGTTACTCCAGACCATCTCATAAGAATGAGCCCTGAAGAACTAGCTTCCAAAGAACTAGCAGCATGGAGGAAAAGAGAAAATAGACATGTATGGCTTATCTACCACTATTGAATTGGTCCCCTAATAACAGATTATAAGTTATTTGTTTTCAAAAAGTTGTTGTCCCTGCCCATCCTCTCATTCCTATGTAATCAAATGATCAATGCTTCGTTCAGCTCACGTTAAGCTAGCTAAGTAGGGTAAATTCAACCCCTTCAAAGCATGCCTTCAACATGTGGGAAATTATTTAGTATTTTCTTCTGGTTTCAGTTTAGTATTTCATTTTATATAGGCTTGCAGCTGTTCTCCTAATATAAGATTTGGGTATGCAGTAAATTTGGTTCTCTCTTGCCCCAATTCATTTTATGTCATTTTTTTGTTCTCATGCCACAAATGCTCTCTGTCCAAAATATTCTAGAAATCTTTTTCAAGATGACATCCTTTAGCATTATGACTATACTTTTATTATCATAAAATGAGCTTGATTGAATATTTTTTCTTAACATTCCTGGAATTCTGGAATTTTGAACCTTAAAATGTTTTCTTTGAAAATGAACCATATCTTCTAGTACAGGGGTCCCGATCTCCAGGCTGTGACCTATTCAGAACCGGGCTGCATGTTCATATGCGCAGCTCAACTTGCATGAACAGCAGGCCAGTATGTTTGCTGGCACACTACATGCACAAGTCGAGCTGCACACATGTGTACCAGCTGGCCACTTGCACAGCCTGGTTCCCTCCCCCCCCCCCCCCCCCCGGCCAGGCCACAAAAGTTGGGGACTGCTGTTCTAGTACGTAAAATTGTTGTCAGGTTTTCTACGTGTATACAAACTAATTTACTGGCATTTGTTTTTAAAGGTATTCTAATGCAAAAGAAGGAATCCAGTTTCCATCTCTTAAATATGGTTTCATGTCCTAGAACTTTGTCTGTTGTTTCTGGAGGCTCCTGCCTTGTACATCTAATCTGTTCTTTGTTTATTGATAGACAATTGAAATGATTGAAAAAGAGCAGAGGGAAGTTGAAAGACGGCCAATCACAAAAATTACTCATAAAGGAGAAATAGAAATTGAAAGTGAAGCTCCAGTTAAAGAGCAAGAAGCAACTATTATGGAAATTCAGGTATAATTTGAATGTGTTATTGTAACAATAAAACATTTTTCACCAGCAGTTCTTATGCACTAGAGTATAATATGTAGGTTGTCTAATCTTTGATATATTCAACCTAGTTTAGAATCTGTGAGTATCTTTCATGGGCTACATGTGTCCTTGTTTTACAAGAGAAAGCTAGCAGTATGTAAATGAAAACATGTTTGTGCTAAACAAATTTTCTTGTAACATCCAGGACATTGAAAATATATTATAGCCCTTTCTGCAAGAAAGATTCAATAACATCTAGAGCTTCTATGGTAATCAGCAAGAGTTAGGATATGAATTATATTTCCTCACAGGCCTTCATAATATTCCTATGAAAATATTATTCAGCAGTGATATATATAGGCATTCCAGGATCAGGATAAAGACAGCTCTGGATTCCTTGAATCTGAAGCACGTTCATTTGTTTAACTGGTCACAATACTGGATGATCTGTTTTTCTGTGTACATATATTTTATTTGAACCGTGAAAAGAGCCATGGTGATGCAGTGGTTGGAATGCAGAACTGCCGGCTAATTCACTGCTCACTACCAGGAATTCAATCCTGACCATCTCAAGGTTGATTCAGACTTCCATCCTTCCAAGGTCGGTAAAATGAGGGCCCAGATTGTTGAGGACAATAAGCTGACTCTGTAAACTGCTTAGAGGGCTGTAAAGCGCTATGAAGTGGTATATAAGTCTAAGTGCTGTTGCTATATTTTATTTCATTGAAATTAATTCATTGAAGAATAGCAACAGAATTGATAACATTGAAAACAGTAAGCTGGCCTATTCTTAGTTTACTATTGCATTTAGTGTTGCTCATGTCATTTTAAGTTACTCAGCATAATGCCAGTGAGGACTCCTTTAGTAAATGCTGAATGTTATTTCTTTTATAAAGCAATGTTAATAAATAATGTATATAATGTTTATTATAGCCAAAGGACCTGAATTATTATATATATGTAATAAATATAAACAACATTTGTTTTCTTCTTGTAGGAACCTGCTCCAATTAAAATTGTAGAAAAGGTGGAGGAAACTGAAAAAGTTAAAGAAGCTGATGAGTCTTCCGTTTCTGATACAACAAATCAACATAAAAACCACCTATTTGATCTCAATTGTAAAATTTGCACAGGTAGTATTCACAAGCTTGTTTAAGCGGCAATATAAATCCAATAAAAATAAATAAAATAAAATAAAACTGCTGATTGCCAGCAGTTCAGCAGTTTAAGTTCCACTGGTTCAGGGTTGACTGAGCCTTCCATCCTTCTGAGGTCGGTAAAATGAGGACCCAGATTGTTGGGGGCAATATGCTGACTCTGTAAACCACTTAGAGAGGGCTGTGAAGCTGTATATAAGATTAAGTGCTATTGCTATATGTGCTATTTGAACTTCTTGGTCCTTAGCACTTCTCAAGTTTAAGACCTAGAATAATGGCAGTTTCTCAGTGGAATTAATTGTAAAATGATATCCAGTTGTATTTCAACAACCCCAGGAAGTAAGTTAGACCAAGAAAGAATGAATGACTCAAGTCATAAAGTGAGTTTCATGGATAAATGATTATTTGAATTTGTGTCAGTCACTCCAGCCAATACTTCATTCTATGATGCAGGTCCTTCTAACAATCTAATCAGGGTGACTATTTCTCCCTTTACATCCAAGCTCGTTAAGAGTCTCTCCAAACCACAGCTTAAAATTGGAGATCTTTCATGTGCCCTAAAGTTTGAAGAAGCAAAGTAGATTTCAGAGGCACTGTGCAAGTCAGAGAAATGTAATGATTAAGCTTTTGATCTGGAGCCCTAGTTTCCATCCTCAGCCAGGGAAACTCACTGGATGACTTTTTGCAAATCCTTCTGCTCAGACCAACCTACAACAGGGAGGATTGTGCAAAAAAAAACAAAAAAAAAACCACAAAATGGATTGTGCTATCCATACTCTTTTGACCTGAATGAACAGTGGGATATCAATCAAATAAGTCAGAAATGGGATTCTGCTGCCTTGTCTACATTCAGAGGTTGCTGCATACCATAAATAATGTATGGAGGCTAAACTCAGTAAAATTAATGTCAAAGACCAAATTAACAAAATATGTTTTCTAACTGTTCAATTGGCTGATAATTTTAGAGTGGGCTGCAGAACCTGCAGGTAACCTGATGTTACTGAGTACAAATTTCTCTTCATTGATCTCATTTGTCATAGCTACTAGGAGTTGTAGTTCAGCAACATTTGTTTGCTACTGGCTATTTTTCTAACATGAAGTTTCAAAACTTCTGTGTTAGAAGGCAGTTAAGAACTTCTCTCTCCCTCAGAAGTTTCAGAACAAGAATATAGTTCTTAACTCTTTAGTTCAAATGAGCCTATCTCAAACTATAGTTAGAAGTATTAACAAACCAGTGAATAGATGAAGTTCAAAACAAAGGAATTTAAATCTGGCATAAAGGCTTCAGAACTGCACTTCACAGTAGTTCACTGCAGAGAAATAGGAAGATGGCAAGGTTGTTCAGGTTTTTTTTTATATAAAATTTCATCATTTGGGTACTGTTTGGAAAAAAAAATATTTTTTTATATTAAGTTCAATAAATTAAAATTAATTGACATCTCTTTGATAATGATCTAAACTTCATTTAACTGCTTGAGTCAGATTCTAGATATATACTGCTGTACTTTTAATTTCAACCAGCAAGATTTTTTAGCATTATTCCGGTTTGAGTTTTTTCGGCGACAGACTGAACCGCGTCTCTGCGTGGTTTCGATCCGTGCTCACCACTGAAGCTCCCCGAGCTGGCTGGTTTCGGAGCTAAGCCACCCCGTAGAGGTGGTGAAGAAGGGGGAGACTGCCTACAGGGTTGAGGAGAGCCGCATCTCTCCTCCCCAGCTGGCCATTACTCCCTTTCCCGAAGGCGGTTGTAGTGGTGGTCAGAAATGGCCACCACAAAGAAGAACTCGACTGGAAAAGAATGTGCAGGAGGAAGATAAGAAGAGAAAGTTTTGGTTGACCAGGTCAAACAACAAAAGCAACAAATTAGGTACCCTGGAATTGAAACTATTAAAAAAAACCAATAACATTGTTCCCTAAGAAGATTTCTAAGCTGCGAAGGAGAGAGAAAAGGGAAAGGATTTGATTTTTTTTTCTCCTCTTCCTATACTGACAGCTAAGAGACTTAAGCAAGAAATTGGAAAAAATTCCACTTTGACGTTAATAGGCATTTAATGCTGAAAATAAAAAGTCAAAGGGATAATAAAGATTTCTGGATAATTAAAACTTTTTGAAAACAGGAAAGGAGAGAAAAGGAATAAAAGGGCAGGATCTGGAAGGGAGGAGACTGCCTGGAATTAAAAAGAACTTACAGCAAAATCTCAACAAGACTTCCAAAAGATACATCTTAACTGAAACATCGCAACAAAATAGTAAAACCCCAGGAGGAGAAAGTGGAAAAAGAAATAAGAAACAGTTTGGGACTATTTGGATTACTTGGTGATCTCTGGATTCTTGGTTATTGCATTTGAATGACTAAAAATCAATCGGGTTGTTTAAAATTGTTTAATATGGCTCCACTTTTAGAAGAACTGAAAATGGAACTTAAAAAGTACAAAGAAGATGCACAAGAAGGGAGAGGTTCTTTTGGCTTCATATTTCAGTTCTTAGAAATGGAGATTTGGAACTATGAGAAACAACATGAAATGCCTGCAGAACAAGAAGATTGGGACAAAGAAGCCATCTTTAACGAACAAGTAATCTTAGGTTGGGGGGGGGAGAAAAGGGGGAAAGAGAATGGAAAGTTTAAGATTGGGAAAAACAACCCCAAAAAGAATAGAGTGAAAAATAAGTATAAAATCAGAAAGCAACAGAAGAGGGAAATGCAGAAGAGAGAATTAGAAGTAGAGAGACAAGGGGGTAAAAAGGGGAGGGAGAAGAAGAGAGGGAAGAAAGAAAGGAAAAGAAGTTATAAACTACAGAAACAAAATATAGAGAAACAGGGCCTATTTAGAGATAATGGGTGAAAATCTAATAGAAAAAGGGATTCTGCAAAGGTACATAAGATAGTATCCTTATATTAGAAATAGAAATAATTTCAGAAAATATGAAACAATGTATGATTAAAATGTTTGATAAAATAGTTATCAATAGTGGAATGCTTGTCAATAAATAAATGTAACAAAATGAATATTTAATGATTTACAAAACATGTGAAGAGAAATAAGGGAAAAATTAATTATGGAGATTATATTTGTCTTTAAGGAAGTATGATATTTAATTGAAATGTTAAAGATGTTAAGATTTTAATGATTATTAATGATAGAACTGAATTGGAATGGAATGAGGGTTTATAATTACATATATTTATAATCCTTTTTTTAAAAGAATATAGTGTGTATTATAAAAATGTACCAAGCAGAATTTGATTGGAAGTTATGTATTATGTATTATATTGAAGGTCATAACCTTAAGGTATATATTGAAGTTTAAATAAGAGTTGAATGGATATAATTAAAAGATATAAAGGTATAAAAGATAAAAAGATTTTTTAGCATTATGGTGATAGCAGTAATTGTGACTATATATTACAATTATTTTAAACTGGCTTAATATGATAAATACTTGTTAAAGCGTTTTAATTTTTTTTTCAAGGTCGAATGGCACCACCCAGTGATGATCTTTCTGGAAAAAAAGTGAAAGTATCAGTTGGAGTTGCTCGGAAGCCATCAGATAATGAAGCTGACAATATAGCAGATGCGCTTACTTCAACAACAAACATCTTAGCTTTGGAATTATTAGAGGAAGATAAAGAGTTATCAAATCCAGGGTTTGCGTCCACTTCCAGCTCTAGGTAATCATTGTGATTGCTACTCAAGTGTGTAAGAAAATAGAAGCTACCATATGCACTTTGAATAAAAATGTTCTGCTTTCTTGGCTGAAAGCCGTTTTCCATAAATGAAGATAGGGAGTAAAACATTCCAAACAGAAATGAAAATTTTAAAAAATATCCAGGTTTTCAGACTGAATTGTAATATACCGTATATACTCGAGTATAAGCCGAGTTTTTCAGCCCATTTTTTGTGCTGAAAAAACCCCCCTCGGCTTATACTCGAGTCAGATTCCCCTCTGAAAAAAAATGGTGTGGAGCTCCGGAGCTGGGCAGGCGCTTCCCTGCTTCCGTGTTTCCTTTGCAACTTTTAAGCATGGGGGTAATCGGAAGCAGAAAAGTTCTTGCATGAGGATATATTGTTTTTTCTTTTTTTAATTGTTTTTAGGGGGGGGGAAAGACCCACCGCCATGTGAGAATGCTCAGACACGAAATCTATCCGCCCGAAAATAAGTGTGTGTGTGTGTGGGGGGGATTTTTAACAGAGGGAAGATGTAGGGAGAAGGCAAAAGCAACGGAAGATCCTTCTGGGGAAACTGAGGGGGAGACTCACCCTTGGTCCAGATGAGCCCCCTTCCCCGCCCCTAAGGAAGCAGAGGCAGCCAGCAAGGGCAGGCAAGCCCCACTTCAAGGACTCCGTCCGTCCTCGCTCCCACCCACCCACCCACCCAAAGCCACGAAGTCCCCCAATCGCGCAGCCCAGAATCGCCCTCCCCTCGGGGCAGCAACGACGCCCGGTGTTTCCCGAGACAAGAAGCTTCGCCGTGAAATGAAAGCGCCCTGGCTCTAGGCTCTAGGCTCAGAAAACAACGAGAGCCGAGGT